TGTCTATACTTTGCACATTTAATGCTAATTTATTAATCAAGACCTGAATGCATATAGTTGTAAATTAAAATATGCTTTGCTCGTGAGGCTTACATTTCGCACTTTGAAGCTTACACCCCGCTTCAGAAAAAGGTCTAAACGCTTTGCCTTGTGCTTCCGTATATTTAAACATTTATCTTCATAGGCATTTAAACTTTATAATTACTGACATGGATATTTCGTAAATGATTTGTAGCAGTGGAGCCCCCACACACACACGCGCGCGCGCACACACACACACACTCTTGTCCTGTGATAAATTTCAGTCTACTTCTATGATGGGGAACATCTCATCTATTGTTCTAATCTTCGATTTTAGTTTTCTCCCTAATACTACTTCTTACATATGTTTGTTGATAATAACAATTTTTTTAGTTGGAAAAGTTATGTTGCATGTTTCTTCTTCTATATAACTATTTGGGTTTATCGAGTTTTGAACATGCATATGCTTTTACAATGAGTTGATTACGTGTATGACTTGTTAGACGCTGGTTCACTTTCTGCTCTGTGGATTAAGGAGCAGCTACATGTTATAATCTCTCATTCAGGAGTTTGATGAAAGCTGGTGAGGTGCGATGAAAATAGTCGAATTATGTATTCTGTTTTTCAGCCATTTAATTTAATGGACGATTATGTGTTTCTCAGGGATTTTTCTTTTTCTTTTATTCATAATTTTAACATCTGTTAATGTCAATGGTAAAGGTTTATGATACTAAGTTCTTCAGCATTTTTTTAATTTTAAACAAAGGATTACTCAAATTGATTCTCCTTTGTCTAGCTTCTATTGTTTTATTCTTCGCCATGTTTGGGAATCACAGTTCATTTCCCCTTAACAGATACTTTGTTAAAAAAGTACAAGAATGCGAGATCAAACTTGGAATGTCTGAAGGAATTTGGTGCTACAATTTTACATAACATTGATGCCACAAGGATGAAAACTTGCAGTGATTTGAACATGCGGAAATTTGACAGAATCGTGTTCAACTTTCCCCATGCTGGCTTCAGAGGAAAGGAAGATAACATGCGACAGATCAAGTATGTGACGGTAGCTTTTCTCTCTTGTTTATGATTAAAATCATGAGTGAGTTGCTAAATTGTCAAGTTAATTATTAAGTATAATAATCTATATTTGTCAGTCAAGAGGCTCAGAGTGAATACTAGCAAAAAAGTAGGGTTGTTATGTGAACAAAGAGTCTATGTGCTAATGAAATAGAATGAAGGCAATAAAGTAGCTAAACCGTCATGGTATGGGGGTGAATCTGCAATTAACCCTTAATCTTTTGGGTAGCTAAACTACTCTTCATCTCATCATTTACCAGAGGCTAAAAAGCACTTAAACACCCTATAGTTTAACTCACTTTGTATTTATAGAACCGAAGTTGTTTTTCATAGCATTTATAGACACTAAGTTGTCTGAAATTAGCACGTAACTAATCTCTACTGTGCAAACATGAAAATTATCAGCTTAGTGTTCGCGTGTGATACTCATATGTTAATTTTAGAACATTTAACCATTAATATTTGTTGAATTTACGATTAAACTTATAGCAATTCTATTTTTAAAATAGTATTGAGATATGTTTAAAATAGAGTTGAGATATGTTTAAAATAGAGTTTGGGTAATTTTAATAGTAAATTTTACTCTCAAAGCCCCCGCCACTACATGGAAATTTCAAAGTTATGGTGAGGATTGAGGTTTATAATTTTTATTTTTACATATGCCCCGCAGTCAAGTCACCCTTCTAGGGCAGATATAAGGACTCACACAGTGGATATGTTACCTGGGTACTCCTAACTGAAGCCGTACTTGACACGTACCTGCACCAGTACTCAAACTCCTTGGACACTTCTTGCATATATGAACACAGTTTACTCGGCCAAGTTCTCACTTACGCAGTATATGTCTCATACACTTTTTAGATGCCCTACGAATCACATCCACACAGATTGGGTTTCGAACTATTATTTTAAAGGGTCATGTGGGTGTCAACTTAAAAAATGATAGTTTTCCAATTTACAATCCACATAATAAAAGAAACAGAAAAATATTATAGGAATTTTAATTCTCATAATACATGAATGAAAAGCAATATTGATCTCATTTAAATTATGAATTTCAATATGTAATATATGTATATAAATATTCATATAGTCGTGTTCCCGTACCTTGCCTTTTACAAATTTGTCGTGTCTCGTACACGTACCCATTTCTATGCAACTTAGCTCAGCAGTATAATTTTTTTTATTTATAAATATGCTTAGAAATTCATGGCCAACAAACTTTTTATTTATAAATATGCTTAGAAATTCATGGCCAACAAACTTCAGACGTGGGTTTCTCTGATGATATCATTGTAAAGTCTCTGCCACTACACCAAACTCCTAAGTTGTCTTGTGGGTTATAACTTAATATTCTATCATTAACAAATATTAATGATTGAAAGGTTCTAAAATTAGCAAAATTAATATCATATGAGAACATTGGGATGAAAATTTCCAATTTGCACAATAGAGAGTACTAAGATATCAATTCTAAACAACTTAGGGTATAGCAATGCTACGAAACAGAACTGAGGGAATTTCCGTCTAGGTTGAGAACATTGGGATGAAAATTTCCAATTTGCACAATAGAGAGTACTAAGATATCAATTCTAAACAACTTAGGGTATAGCAATGCTTAGAAATTTACCAGTTGTCAAGTTTCTCAAAAATATTGCAAATGTCACTTTCATGCCATTTCATTTTGGCTGTAGACACTAGTAGAAAAACGATCAACCTAGACGGAAATTTCCGTCTAGGTTGATTGCAATTCCGTCTAGATTAGGTCATCTAGACAGAATTCCGTCTAGTTGGAGTGGTTTATTTTGCTTCCGTCTAGATTGCTTCAAACTAGACGGAAATCAACCTAGACGGAAATCAACCTAGACGGAATAAAGAATTCTGTCTGGGTTGGCAACCCAGACGGAAATCTGTCTGGGTTGGCAACCCAGACGGATTTTCGTCTGGGTTGGTTTTTTACAACCTAGACGGAAATTCCGTCTAGGTTGATTCAATATAGACGGAATTCCGTCTAGATTGCCTTTTTTCAGGAAAAAAAATTAATTAAAATTTGTATTTCCCTGTATAATTACATTAATATTTGAATACTTTTTTTCAGGAAAAAAAATTAATTAAAATTTGTATTTCCCTGTATAATTACATTAATATTTGAATACATCCAGAAAATACTGTACACGCCACATTCAATTTGTATTTCCCTGTATAATTACATTAATATTTGAATACATCCAGAAAATACTGTACACGCCACATTTAACCATCCAATCATAATCAAAATTCATAACAATTCCATTCAAAAACATCTATATAACCAAATCCAACACATTGTACAAATCCAACCATCCACTTCAAAATACACATCAATCAGTTCCATCTAAAACACATCCAACAACATATATACTAACAATGCACATGACTAAGATAATACACGACATGAATAAATGTAGTGTTATAACAAATAAAACTGTTTATTGCATTAAAAATTAAAAACCTCATCCATCGTCGTCGGCGGGGGTATCTCTATCCCGATTACGAGAACGGGTGCTGCTCCCGCCAATATCTCCACTCTGAATGTTTAATTGAATAATCATTATATGGTGTTTGATAACATATTAGATAAAAATGAATTTATAAATATAAGAAAAAATAAGGTACCTGAGCACTATTCTGTCTAGCGTCGGAATTATCGCCAATCGAGCTAATGATCCATATGACACCACCATACGCGCTATAAGGAATAGCACCGCCTAAATATTGTATAACATACCCCATGAGATCGTCCATCGAGTTCGCCGTCAGCGCAACTCTAGTCATCTCATTAGTCACCTGAATATGCAGCTCCGGGTCAATTTTGTCAATCAGATACGCAGAGATACGTGCGACAAATGGTATAGCCTGAAAACTGCTTGTGGCTGCTCTCGTCGATGTAGATGGTGTGGAGGATGCTGTGGACGATCTGATGCTTATAACCATGCAGAGGATATCTTCCTCTCCTATTATTAGGGAGAAATAAATATTAAACTTTGCTCTCAAATTTAATAATGGTAAACAAATATAAATAGTATGTAGTATTCAAATTGATTCGATTTTTCACCATCCTTACCTATTATGACCCATCAGGTTCTGTGTGAGATTGATGTTCTCCTCTGCAGAAAGCATGTGAGGGTCTGGCTCGGTTTGTTCCTCCTCTTGCGAAATGTAGACAGATGCAGCCTCCTTGAATGCGGTCTCAAATCCCTCCTAAAGCACAAATTTATAGTTAATTCAAGATAATGACCATATTATTTGTGTTCTCGTTTCCTCGTAATGTTAACAAAATAGAATTAATAATACTACTCAAGATATGTATAAGTCTCACCACTAACTCGAGATTTGCCGTGATCTTATCCCGATTCCTCTCATCACCCCTATATTGTTCACGAAAAGTACCATATGCCGCTCTGGCCCTCAAGTGTATCGGCATTAATGATTTCCCCTGTCATATTATAAATTATGAGATTTCATAATCATACTAAACATTAAGATCTTTTAAATCTTTAAATGACATATACCGTATCTTGACAATAAACATCCTCCAGATTGGCGTAGGAGTGTGAGCCCAAGTGATGGTCATGCAGCTTCTTTCTTCTATTTTCTGACCCCTTCGTGGATTTATTCTTTAAAAAAATTCTGTAAATATAAAATGAAATAATATCTTAAAATTATAAACTAAATTTCATGAAACTAACCTTGGCGGCATCGCTGTCCCAATACATGAGGAGAGCCGTGAAATGAATCTCGTCAACTCGGTCATCGAGGTTTAAAAACCTCTGCCAGTCCTCCTCATACCTGTCATAGGTTTCATGTTTGATCTCATGCCTCCATTGTTTGAGGACTGCTTCAACCTTGACATTAAACACATAATTCCAAGCCCCCTCAAAGTCCTCAAGGCAGAAGCAGTCCTGTAGATTTACATACACATTTAGTAAGGATAATTTAATATCAATTACTAATTATTAATAAATGAAAATCTAAAACAATATGCACTTACCATAAGCGCAGTCCATATCGCCTCGTATGCGGTCCATGGTAATTCTCGAAAATGAAAATAAGGGTTGATAATGGTCGCTCTACGCACGAGAACCCCAATATATGCATTCAATCGGGTTGACCAAGGACCAACGGGCAAATTAGAACTATTCCACCTAATAATGCCCCTCATTCCTCTTGGCGGTTGTTTAGAATCAGGCTTACCTCCGCCACGTCGTCCCTCTATGCGATCCTTCTTAGCACCTACAATAATGACAACATGATAATATATCATATAATATACAAATGTGAAAATTAAAAGTATTTATATAATTTACCATTCGCTATCTCTCTTTCTTTTGCTGCGAGTGCAACAGCTTTCCTAGTCTCCAACATAGGAAGCATTTCCTGATACCTTCTCGCAGCACGTGGGTGGTACTTCCTTGATTCAGCCTTGGACTTATGAGAGTCCGGAGGTAAAGGTAAACTGAGAAAGTCCTGGGTCTTTGGCCGCAAGTCAGTATGGAATGTATATGATGGATATGTCGGGGTCCAAGTAGCACCTACATAAGAAAGAAGAATCATTAATATTAAATTTTAATTGAACATTATCAATTATTAAATATTTAATACCTGCGTCGGGGGATGGTTCTGGTGCTGCGTCGGGGGATGGTTCTGGTGCTGCATCAGAGGGGCCGGGTGATGAATATCCAGCATCTACAACAAATGAACACTATGAGCTAGATAACTAAAAATTTATAAAACATGTTAAAGTATTAATTAATTTTTATACCTGCATCCGGAGATGGTAGTGGATCATCATCAGCACCACTACCTGGGGTGATACTCCGTGAGCGATCACCCTCCGGGTCAAAGAGCCTCCTCATCCTCCTCCTCATCTGCAAATATAATAAAGACAATCGTTAAGAAAAAATTGTATACATGCTCATGAGATATGTTGTTATGAAATGCATTATTGTTTTTATTATGATAAGATAAAAATTACATAATGTGGTGTAACATATCAGGTTCATACCTACATCCAGCGCCACATTCTGTGCGTAAGAGAATTCTTGGCAAACATCATCAGATGAACCGATTGGTTCACTATAATTATCTTCACTTTCTTCAATATTTTTTTCATTGTTATTAGGAAGAAAAACAGATCTTGGCTCCTTGTACAAAACCACCCAATCATACATGACATTCGGATCTTTCACATAGAAGCACTGATCAGCTTGTTCTGCGAAAATGAATTTCTCATCCGTATATACTTCTCGGTGAAGATTGACTAGTGTAAATCCATAATGATCCTTTTGCTTTTTTGCAGGACACCACCGAACCTTGAACATCGTGTAAGTACATTGTTTTGGTTTACCAAACCCGTAAATTACCTCAACGATATCTTCTAATTGGCCATAATATAATATGCCAGCTAGAATTGGATTCTGATCTCTTATACTTGAAAAACATTCTTGGGCAAACAAGCCCATGACCCCACTGTTCTGAGTTACCCTCCTATCATCGGTCTCTAACATTCAAAATTTATATCCATTCACCAAATGCTCATTATAACGTCTTACTTCGTGATAAGGACGTTGTGCATGGATAATAATTTCATCTGGTAATGTAGTATCATCAAGAAGTGATTTTTCAACCTAAGACAAACAATTTGAGAATATTTAGGTGATGTTATATTATGAATGTTCAATAATTAATTGTAAAACACTTACATCAAATCTTAACCAATCAGAAAATTCTTTCTTATGTCTTTTCTGAATATTGTGCGCTGCATTCCTACCGGTTGTTTCATTCTTAAGCTTCTCCAGATGTCGCCTATATAAACAATATATAAGTTTGTATTGATAAACTATATGTAAAATGAATATTTCTCATCTATATTACAGATTTTATTTGTTACCTTCGATAGTCTTCGAACATATCAAGGTTTTCCAACACATATGCATGAATTTGATCTAAGAGAGATCTCGGGTATTTTTCACGCTTCCTCTCCTTTTGAGGTGCTTGAGATGTGGTTTTCTTCTTACGCATGTAACGTGATGCAAACACAAAGCATTCGTTAGCCACGTATCCTTCAGCTATCGAGCCCTCGGGACGAGCTCGATTGCGAACATTGTTTTTCATGCAGCCCAAGTATCTTATAATCATAAAAGTTAATTATTAGCACGGTAATTTGAAAAACGCGTATACAATTAATAAATATAAGAAAAATCGTAAATTACCTTTCAATCGGATACATCCAACGATAAGTAACAGGACCGGCGATTCTAGCCTCTCTTGCAAGATGCTGGGTAAGATGGACCATAATTGTAAAAAATGAAGGAGGGAATATTACTTCCATATTGCATAGAGTAACTCGGACATCGGCTTCAAGTTTCTTAAAGTCATCTACATCTATGACTTTAGAGCATAATTTTCTGAAAAATCCACAATACTCAATAATAATCTTCGACGCTTCTTTATCCATATTGTTACGGATTGCAACAGGGAGCAATTGATGGAGAAGAACGTGATAATCATGTGTCTTCAGACCTAAGAGTTTTCTCTCTTGCACCTGGACATTATTTGAAATGTTAGCAGAGTAACCATCCGGCGACTTTACCGATTTGAGAATTTCACAAACTCGTTGCATCTGCTCATTTGACATTGTAACACGAGACGGAGGCAACTTTAATTTTTTAAGGCCAACGTCTTGAGCTTGCAAATCATTTCGGATATTCAAAGCAGTCAGATCTTGGCGCGCCCGTAGATCATCCTTCGACTTGTTTGCATCTTGTAGGAGAGTTGATACTATGTTATCACATATATTTTTCTCAATATGCATAACATCTAAGTTGTGTCGGATTTTTAGATTCTGCCAGTAAGGTAGCTGAAAGAAGATACTAAATTTAGTCCATCCTCTAGGTAATGTTTGGGCTTCGTCCTCAACTTGCATTTTACGGACCTTTCGCTTACGCTTCAATGGCTTTTTTAACTTTAAGTAATCTCTTACTCCGAGCGTGTTAAATTTAGAATAGCGTTTTTTCCCAAACACAACTTTTGGAAACCCCTCAAGTAATTGAACGATCTCAGTACCTGTCAGTTGATGCTGCTTCATTCTTTTCTCAACTGTACCATCAAACTTAGCTGATAATTTTCTGTACTTATGACTCAAGGGCAACCACCTTCGATTAAACCAATAACAACTCTTTCGGCTATGTGGTAATTGAATAGCTTCAAATTCTGGACCACATACAGGACAAGCACACTTGCCCTTCGTAGAGTACCCGGACAGATTAGCATAAGCTAGAAAATTATTAATCGTCCATAATTGAATAGCATGTAATCTAAACGACTCTTTTAAATGGGCATCATATGCTAAAATACCCTCAGACCATAATTGTTTTAGCTCATCAATTAGAGGCTCTAAGTAGACATCAATATCATTTCCCGGAGCATGCTTACCGGGTATCAGTAATGAAAGTATCATAAACGGTTGTTTCATACAAAGCAATTGAGGTAAATTATATGGCATTAATACAACTGGCCACGTAGACCAGCCAGAGCTCATTACCCCAAATGGGTTGAATCCGTCGCTTGATAGACCCAGTCTTACATTTCTGCAATCTTCGGCAAAACGAGGATAAATTTTATCAACAAGCTTCCAAGCTAAAGCATCAGCAGGATGTCTCAATTTACCATCGTCTATTCGATCATCCTTATGCCACCTCATATTCTTTGTCGTTTCCTTGTTCATGTATAATCTTCGCAATCTAGGAGCCAATGGAAAATATCGAAGCACTTTGACTGGAATTTTCTTCTGTCTTATCCCTGTCTCCGTTGTAATCCTTGTTGAAGAATTTATGCGCTGTTTCCACCTAGAAACTCCACATGTCGGACACTCTTGAAGGTCTTTATTGGCTTTATGGTACAAAATACAATCATTCGGACATGCATCAATCTTATTATAATCAAGACCCAGAGCAGAGACAATCTTCTCAGCTTAATAAGTTGTTTGGGGTATGCTATTCTCTCCTCCAGGGATTACAGTCCGAAGCAAATCAAGAAGCATTTTAAAATATTTATCTGACATACCGCTAAGTGTCTTAATATGAAGGAGTTTCAGCATAAATGAAAATCTGGAGTACTCGGTACATCCCTCATATAAGTCCTTTTCACTATCTTCTAGTAGCTCCATTATTCGCTTTATTTCTGCGGAGGAATGCATATCATCAATATTTTCGACACTCGCGACACCTCCTACCTCTTCGGCTTCAACTTCGTTATCATCTTCACTTTTGTCTCCAATATCATCCTCGACATTATCATCAACATCATATTCTGTAGGTCGAGGAAAAATATCATTCAACAATGTTTCTGTGTCATCTATTCGTTGGCCACCGGACGTACCAACATGCATATTTGGATCCTCATCTTCAGTGATTCCCTCCCCATGCCAGTTCCAGTATTTATATTTCTCATCAAAACCTGATTTTATTAGGTGAATCCGTATATCATTTCTATTCAGCAGCTTCAAATTCCTACACTTACAACAAGGACAGTACATAGCACCGCTTCTTAAATTTCTCGGATTCATTTCCGCATAACGCATGAAGCCTTCACATCCCTCCTTGTATCGTGTGTCGTGAAATCTACGATGCCTAGGGATATCTATCCATGACTTGTCAGGAATTATCCTCATCTGTAAATTATATATAAATATTAAATACGATTAGTCTCACAACTACTAATACATCCATTACTCTTATACATTCAACACACATCAAACATACGTTCATATATCATTTAACAATATGAATATTTATCTACATAAAATATATATAAAACATACGTAAAAACTAATTACACTAATCTTGCGGCTGTCATAGGAAGGCTTCTATCCATTAAGAATATAGTAGTGCTTACATCCAACTTCATATACTTTGTATATTTTCATTTCTTGAAAATTTCGGCAGCACCTACCCGCTGTTCTCCCTGTACACTGTGCGGATGTTATTATGCGTATCAGTAATAACCCGAAACGCAGAACAACATACGCTTATTGTACACGGAGAACAACGAATAGGTGCTGCCAAAACTTTCAAGAATGAAAATATACAAAGTATACAAAGTTGGATGTATGCACTACTATATTCCTAACCCGTCCGAGAAGGACAGATCCAATAATTACGAATTTCAGTACCAATTTTTTATTCCTATAATATAAAATAAACGCTCATTTTTGGGAGAAAACTTCGTCTCCTACCCAAATCTGAGTCGTATATCATATATTATAAGTCCAAATAATTGGATGTAATTATTGGACGGAAGTCTAGGGATAACGTTATTTTTTTATTCACCTAAATTGGATTATAACACATTATAAAAATTTATAATGTGTTATATATCACTCTATTTTTTAAAAAAAAATTATTTCACA